GAAAGACACAAGAAAGCAAGGTAGGAAGAAATGAAAGACAAACTATATCAACTTCAGTTATCTCTAATTCAAGTCCCTTGGGGGAAAGAAGCAAAATAAAGTACAGCAAATAATACATCGCTAGAGAGATAGTGCCTAGGCTCTGTTAATGTGCTTAGTCTCTCAAAGCATACTACTGCTATTCAACTTCCTGAGAAGTGTGCTTTGTTTCTTTAAAAAAAAAAAAACACCAAATAACAAAAACAAATCATTTTGCCCGGCCATCATGGCACAATGGTTGAGCATCGACCTATGAACCAGAAGGTCATGGCTCGATTCCTGGTCAGAGCACGTGCCTGGGTTGTGGGTTCATTCAGGAAGCAGCCGATCAATGACTGTCTCTCATCATTGATGTTTCTATCTCCTTCTCCCTGTCCGTTCTTTTCTGAAATAAATAGATATATTTTAAAAAGTCATTTTCATTAAAGAAAATAACATGGGACTTTGGACCACTCAACTGAAGACGTTTGATCTAGAAATATGTCTTTCCCTGGTTTCAATTAACACTGAATAATAAGAATTCCACAAAGTCACACAGATGAACCCAGGTTCCCTGAAAGGCTTACAAACAAGAAAAGTTCAATTTAATATAGTAACCCTGGATTGTGAACACCAGTGCTGTCCTTCAATATTTGATTTATAAAGGGAAGATGAGCCCTTGTAGAGTAAATAATATTTTAAATAGCTTAGAGAAAATTGGAGACTAAAGGAAACTTCTCATGGAAACAAAAAAAATCTAGGAGCAGAAGGAGTTAGCATCTCTGGTGCAGAGCAGGCATTGCCCAATGACCCCACATAGCCCATAAATATAATGTGTTATGTGGGTGCTATGTCATAGAGGAAAACAGTATTGGATCTGTTTGGTGCAGACCATCTATAATGGGATAGAAATCCTCAAAGGCAAGCATACTACCCCTGGTTTACACAGTTTAGGAAAGGAGACATCCTTTAGTTGATAGCCTGGTGAAGGCAACACCACATTTTCTAGTACACAAAGCACTTCCTTCTCTTGCCCAACATTTGAGAAGTCCTAGACTCAGACATGCTGGCATTTATGCTGGAGTTACTATTTGGTAAAGTGATATTAGCAAAACTTGTTGCTTTGGTAACGTGTTCTACAAAACCTTGGATCTTGGGTATAGCGATACAGACAAAGTACACCCACTGTTTTGTTTCCTTTTGTATTTTTTAAAATTTCTTTCTTGTCATCAGTATCCAAAGGCTGATACCATATGTCACAGCTTTCCAGGTACCCACAGTCTCTAACATCAGGGCACTGGCAAATATGTATGAACTCAGACTCTTTTCCTGCCAGGAAGTGAGGTAGTTTGGGAGGTTACATGCACATAGCTTCTCCTTAACTGAGTATGATTTATCTATGAGTTTATCTTAAAATTAACTAAAAGAAGTGAGAAGCCATATGAAGCTATTCCTAAGAATTTTAGGAGCCTCTGGAGAAAGTCAGGTCAGTTTATTTTCTAAATCAAATAGAATTATCTTTCTAAGGAAGTATGCACTTTGGCTGATCATTTTAAACAGTAACAAATAATTACATTTGACCAAATACCCAAACCCAGGACACATAAAGTCAATTCTTCAAAAACAAATATAATCTGATAAATATTATTTTATAAAATAAACATGTTTAAATATATTTCCTCATTCATTGCTTTCTTATCTCAAGCAACATTTAACACAACAAATCTTTTTGAAATATAGGCTCTCAAATTCAAAACATTGTTTAAATAAACTAGTGTATGTGAACTACATAAATGAACATGCATTGCTGGTGGGAATATAAAATGGTAAAATCACTTTGGAAAACAGGCTGGCAATTTCTTATAAAGTTAAACATGCATTCACCATATAATATAGTAATTTTACTAGCTATTTACTAAAGAGAAATGACAACACACATCCCACAAAAGCTTAAACACAAATATTCATAACAACTTTATTCATAATAGTCCCCAGTTGGAAACCCAAATGTCCACCAAAAGGCAAAAGAATAAACAAATTGTGCAATATATTACAATAAAATACAATTCAGCAATAAAAACTGATGAACTACAGATATAGGAAGCAACATGGATTGATCTCAAGGACATTCTAATCAAAAGCAACAAGACACAAAAGAGTATATATTGTATGATTACATATATATATCCTATATAATAAAACCCTAATATGCAAATCAACCAAACAGCAGAATGATCAACGAACAACTGGTCGCTATGATGTGCACTGACTGCCAGGGGGCAGATGCTCAATGCAGGAGCTGCCCTTTGGTGGTCAGTGTGTTCCCACAGGGGGGGCGCCACTCAGCCAGAAGCTGAGCTCACAGCTGATGAGTGCAGCGGCAGTGGCGGTAGTCTCTCCTGCCTCCACTGCAGGCGAGCAGTAAGGAGCTAGGGGTCCCAGACTGAAAGAGCCCCAGACTGTGAGAGGGATGTCTGAATGCTGGCTTAGGCCCAATCCCTGGGGAGGCGGACATCCCCCGAGGGGTCCCAGACTGTAAGAGGGCACAGGCTGGGCCGAGGGACCGCCCCCGCCTCAGTGCACGAATTTCATGCACTGGGCCTCTAGAATTTCTGTAAAAGAGAAAGCTAATCTACAGAACTGGTCAAAAGTAGGTTTACAGTTGTGAGTATATAAAACACAGAGTTTATTCTTACATCATTATAATCATAACCTGCATGTTTTTTTTCCATACAAACAACTGTAAACCTACTTTTGCCCACCTCTGTATAGTGATAAGGAAAAGGAAATCAGTGTAACCTGGAGCCAGCAGTGGGGATGAACAACATTAACTACAAAGGGGCAGTGGACATTTTCTGTGGTAATGGAAGGGGTCTATATCATTTTTTAAATATCCTCATCTGCCCTAGCTGGTTTGGCTTAGTGCAGTGGTCGGCAAACTGGCTCGCGAGCCACATGCGGCTCTTTGGCCCCTTGAGTGTGGCTCTTCCTAAGGCTTAGGAGTACCCGAATTAAATTAATAACAATGTACCTACCTATATAGTTTAAGTTTAAAAAATTTGGCTCTCAAAAGAAATTTCAATTGTTGTACTGTTGATATTTGGCTCTGTTGACTAATGAGTTTGCCGACCACTGGCTTAGTGAATAGAGCATTACCCTGTGGACCAAAGGGGCCTGGGTTCCATTCCGGTCAAGGGCACTTACCTTGGTTGCAGGCTTCTCCCTGGCCCGGGTCCTGGTAGGGGTGAATGCTGGAGGCAACCAATTGATATGTTTCTCTCACATCAATTTTTCTCGGTCTTTCCTGCTCTGTCCCAGTCTCTCTAAAAGATCAATGGAAAAATATCCTCAGGTAAGGATTAACCAAAAAAAATCTATGTCTATATCTATATCTATATCTATAATCTATATCTAATCTATATCTATCTTAATAAAGTTGATTTTTAAAATAGCATAAATGTAAAACTCTTCAAAAGTTGAAGATTTAACCCTAGCTGGTTTGGCTCAGTGGATAGAGCCTATGGGCTGAAGGGTCTGGGTTCAATTCTTGTCAAGGGCACATGCCCAAGTTGTGGGCTCGATTCCCAGTGTGGGGTGTGCAGGAGGCAGCCCATCAATGACTCTCTCTCATTATTGATGTCTCTATCTCTCTCTCCCTCTCCCTTCCTCTCTGAAATCAATAATAATATATGTTTTTTTAAAATTGAAGATTTAAAGTTATTTTTGCTTAGCAAGTATATGAAGCATTCTATGAAAACTGTGTACCAAGATGCAGTCCCTCCAATCAGAAAACTATTCTCTTGAAAAAAACTAAGCAGACAGGCATATATGCCTGGTGGAAGGCATTGGGTTTGATGCTATATGGAGCTGGAATATACAGTTTACCAGGCTCTTTTATTTTTATTTTTAAAATGTTTTTATTGATTTCAGAGAGGGAGAGAGATAGAAACATCACTTATGAGAATCATTGATTGTCTGCCTCCAGCATGCCCTCTACTGGGGATGGAGACTGCAACCCAGGCATGTGCCCTGACCAAGAATCGAACCGTGACCTTCTTGGTACATAGGTCGATGCTCAACCACTGAGCCACACCAGTTGGGCACCAGGCTCTTTTAAATAGTGCCTACCATGTTTGAGGAATGACAAAAGGAATTAAAGGCAAAGGATTCATTAGGCTGGAAAGAAGACCAATGTATATGCTAGGTTGATCAGAACTGTGATCAGATCAAGGACAAGAAATGTATTCTACATCACCTGTCACTGTCATCTTGTGAAGTGCCTTGCAATAGAGAGGCCAATCAATCTGGAGGCAGTTCGACTGTCTAAAACATGGTACCAATAACTGGAACAAAAAGTAGAAAATGTTAAAGGACAAGAGGGACTTCAGATTTCTTGGCCAGACTGCAGGGATTCCCTTGCCTTCCCTATCAGAATGGAAGCTCTCTCATTCTCTTTTACGTGTTTGGTAAAAAGTTCTACTAAAGTTTTATTTTATTGATTGATTAAGGTATTACATATATGTCCTTATCTCCCCTTTGCCCCCAACCCCCCAACTCATGCCCTCACCCCCCTGTTATCTGTGTCCATTGGTTAGGCTCATATGCAGATGAGTGGTTTAAACACTGTGGTACATCTACACACTGGAATACTATGCTGTGGTAAAAAAGAAGGAATTCTTACCATTTTCAACAGCATGGATGGAACTGGAGAGCATTATGCTAAGGGTTTCTGTTGTGTTTTTTGTTGTGTTTTTTTTTGTTAATCTTCACCCGAGGATATTTTTCCAATGATCTTTTAGAGAGGATGGAAGAGAAAGGGGAAGACAGAGAGAAACATTGATGTGAAAGCAACACATTGATTGGTTGCCTCCTGCATGAGTCCCAACCAGGGCCCAGGCCAGGGAGGAGCCTGCAACCGAGGTACGTGCCCTTGACTGGAATTGAACCTGGGACTCTTTGGTCCACAGGCCAATTCTCTATCCACTGAGTCAAACTGGCTAGGGCTCTACTAAGGTTTTAATAAATGCAGAAGATAAGGAATTGATGTGGAATATTTTATTCATCTATATAGCTTTAGAAATTAAAAGATGAGGGAAATATATAATTGAGTCTATCGCATATATAATCTTAGGCTAGAATTCAGGGCATAGGCACACTGAAGTGGGAAATATTCTGAAATTACTCTTCTAATCAGAGGAATCTGATTAAATCACAATTTTTAGGAACTGATGAGATGTAAAAAAGAGTGTGGAGTGCTGTGGTCATTTCTGGGTTCCATGCTTGAAGGATATTGAAAAACTGGAAAATGATTGGAGGCCAATGGCCATGATGCTAATAATGTCTGGAAACCATCTCATAGAAAAAAAAAAGACTAGAATGGAAACATAGAAAAGATTTGTGGAGACATTGTAGCTGTTGGCAAATATTCAAAAGTCTATATCTATGGGAGAGGAAATGGATTTTGCTTATTTTATGGCATTCCCAATGACAAATTAGGACCAATGGATAAAAGGTAGATTTTCATTCAATATCAGAAGGAATTTTTGAGTGAGTAGAACTCTCTAATAGTTGAAAGGCTCTTTGACTTTCCCTCATTGAAAATTCAAACAGAAGTAAGTAAAGAGTCCAACAGTGATAAGGGAGTTCTGATCTTCTCATCCCTTCCCTTACATAATAACTACTTCCTATAACATATTTATTTTAAATTCTATTATTTCTTGATTATACAAGTAACAGATATCCATGTTGAAAAATCTGAAAATACAAAGAGAAAAGCAAATGAAAATAAAATCATCCATCTTCCCACCTCCCAAAGACTTGAATATTTTGGCATATAGCTTTACAGACTGTCTGCTATTTATCAATTATATATATATATACATATATATAATATATATATATCTACATATATACATATACACACACACACACACACACACACACATTATATAATTTTTAAAAACAAAAATGAGATCCCATTAATCACACTGTTTTTTAACTTTACAATATAGTGTAAACATCCTTCCATGTCAAGTGATATATGACTGTGTCATCATTCTTAATGGGTGCAGAGATTTCTATGGAATGAATGTACTGTAATCTGTTTAACTTAATGTTTCCCAAAGGGTATTCTACATTACAGCAATCCTGTAAGATGACCCTCAAAAAAGAGAACTTTGGTTAAACAGTTTTAAAATGTCCCATACCATATTCCCATTTTGGGTTTTCACAATGTTAAAGAAACAAGTTTAACTGAGTTTCCCAAACCTACTTGACCATAGATTGCCTGTGGCCTCCTCCTCCTTTAATTCTTCAGGACACTTATTTACATTTTCTAAATCACTCTGAGAAATTATGCCTTACCTTATACTTTAGTGTTAGAGAGTGTGTTTTTTTTTTAACATAAAGCTCACATTTTAGCCACTTTTAAGTATACAATAATTATATTCACAATATTATTCAACCATCCCCACTATTTCCAAAACCTTTACATCATCCCAACAAAAACTCTGTAACTTTCCCTCCCACCAGCCCCTGGTAACTTGTAACCTACTTTCTATCTCTATGACTTTGTCTATTCTTCCGTGTTTTTTTTTTTTTTTTAAATCCTCACCAGAGGATATTTTTCCATTGATTTTTAGAGAGAGTGGAAGAGAGAGGGAAAGACAGAGAGAAATATTGATGTGAGAGAAACACATTGATTGGTTGCCTCCTGCATGTACCCCTACCAGGGCCTGGACCGGGGAGGAGCCTGCAATTGAGGTAAGTGCCCTTGACCAGAATCAAACCTGAGACCCTTTGCTCTGCAGGCCGATACTCTATCCACTGAGTCAAACTGGCTAGGGCTGACTTTGTCTATTCTTAATATCTCATTTAAGTGGAGTTGTGATGTTTGTCCTTTTGTGTCTGACTTATTTCACTTAGCATATGTTTTCAAGGCTCATCCATGTTGCATCAGGTAACAGAACTTTATTCCCTTTTATAGCTAAACTAGAGGCCCAATGCACAAAAGTTTGTGCACTGGGGGTGGGAGAAGGGGGTGGGAGGGTGTCCCTCAGCCCCACTTGTGCCCTATCCCAGTCTGGGATCCCTTGGGAGATAACCACCTGCTGGCTTAGGCCCGCTCCCCAGGTGGCAGGCCTGATCCCTCAGTGCCTGCCCCACCTCCCTGGGTCACGCACACAGCAGGGCCGATCCGGGGATTGGGGCGCCGCCCTGGGTCGCACATGGCAGGGCCGATCCGGGGGTTGGGGCACTGCCCCGGGTTGATTGTATGGATAGACCACATTTTTATCCTTTCATCTGGTGATAGAAGTTGATGCACCAAGGAACATTGACATACCATTAACTGAGTTCTTGTTTTCAAAGAGTGGAATGTTTAATCACATGGTAATTCTGTTTAATACTTTGAGGAACTGCCAAACTGTTTTTCACTGTCACTGCATCATTTTACATTCTAACCAGCAATGTACATGGGTCTTATTTCTCCATATCCTCACCAAAACTTGTTATTATCTATCTTTTATTTTGTAGCCATCCTAGTGGGTATAAAGTGTTATCTTTCTAGTTTTAATTTGCATTGCTCTAATGACTAATATTGTGGAACATCTTTTCATGGACAGTTGTATATCTTCTTTGGAGAAATATCTATTCATAAAGTTCTTTGCCATATTTTATTTTATTTTTTTCTTTGCCCATATTTTAATTGAATTGCTTATCTTTTTTGCTGAGTTATAGGAGTACTTTATATATTCTGGATTAAACCCTTATCAGATATGATTTACAAATATTTTTCTCATTTTATAGATTGTCCTTTCACTGTCTTGTTAATGTCCTTCAATGCACAAAAGTTCTTAATTTTGATAAAGTCCAATTTATCATTTTTCTTTTGTTGCTCATGCTTTTGGTGCTATATCTAAGAATTCATTGCTAAGTCAAAGGTCATATTTTCCCCTAAGAATTTAATGGTTTCAGCTCTTAATATTTATGCCATTGATCCATTTTGAGTTAATTTTTGTATATGGAGTGAGTTTGAGTCCAACTTCATCATTTGCATGTGGATATTCAGTTGTCCCGGCATTTGTTGAAAACATTAGGTTTTTCACAACTACAAATAACATTATAGTAAACATCATTTCAACCTGTACCATATTTTTCTCTAAGAAAAATTCCTAGAAGCATTAATATATAAAAAATGTGCACATTTTGAAGGCTTTTTTTTACATATACCATCAAACTTCTTCC